CACACAACCCACAATTCCTCTATTCGCTCCGACGAAGGGCTAACGCTCGAAACGTCAGCTTTTGTAATCATTACGGTGGCCAATTTACCATTTCAACTTTGTTGATATATCCAAATTATTACATTACATAACTTTCATCACAGTCTACCGCTGCAGTTACCTTATACTTCTTTTAGCTGTTTCCTTCTTTCAATCTAGCTTGATGTTTTGTTCCTTTTTCAGAAACGTAGCCAATTTTAGAAATGGTATTTCAACCTCTTGGTCTCACAAATTTTATGTATTTAACAGGAATGTATTTCTAGGAATTCCATCGCTCCTCGCCATTCAAGTCAACGTTGATCTTTTCCGCAGCTTTCATAAATACATTCCTCTCTGTGCTCGACTTTCTTACTCATTCCTACATGAAACTATGATTCAACTTTAGAACTTTCTTCAAACTTTTGGCCATTGCTTCCTCCTGCGATTGAATAATTACTGTGCTCGTGGCATATGGGTCTCCTATTTCACATCTGGTGTATCCTGACCGCTGTCTGTTGTAAAGGGATCAAAAAGGGTCGTCAATGGAGAAGGATTTTCCGCGTGTGTCTATAGTCCACATCCATTATGTACTCTGTAGTGCTGATAATAATGTTATTAATAACGATATTAATGTTAATGATGATAATTTTATTAGAAATGATCGTAACGATAACTATAAAATAGTAATTATAATGATATCAATAATCTTAATGATTAATAATAGTAATGATAGTGATCATTATGATGATAAAGATGACGATATCAGTAATGATAGAGATATAGTTTGTTTATCGTGTCGATAAACTACACAGATCGATGACAACTTTAAAACATGTTTCAAGGATAAAGCAATGCTGTGTACTTTCAAAAGTATACTCAAACTTCGAGAATGATTTTTCAACTTCTCTTTCGATACAAACATAAAGCAAGTTGTCATAAAAAGCTGAACTCAACCTTGGTAATGTTGTTGAAGTAAAGACACCCTGCGCAAAAAATTGAAAATGCTAATTTGATAAAATCGGCTACTGTAACGACCTGCATCGGTATCTTCATATTGTTAAATACATTTAATGAGTTTACTGCTCGTGAAGAAGGTAAAGTTTTTTTAGAAACAGGCGAGATCTATATAATAAGTATTACCGGGTGTTTTTTAAAAAGAAAAGAACAAAGAACTTGTTGTTTACCTTAGCGAAAGGAAAGATCTATCGATTATAATTGCTGGCTTTAATCTGTCAACAAAACAAAAAAAATTAGTAGGAAATAAATAAGGAGGTTGTATGGATTGGCTTTACTTTATTTTACTTTACTTCTCATTAATTAAAAATGTATATTAAGACTGAACATCAGCCAGGGATTATAGTCCTGTATGTCTACGTGGTTTTATTTACATAACGCACCATCAGTTTTCGTACTGCTGCCCAGAGTTCCGGGTCAGGCTTAGTCTGTGGTCGGATAAGAGGAACTGTTCCACCAACATCTGGGAAAAAGTACACATTGGTGAAGTAAAGATAGAAAATACTCATGATACTTTCAAACTCTTCCGTAGAAAATAGAAAAACGAATGTATAATGAGGTACTCATCTGGGGCATCAATTTCTAGATAGTCCCCTTACTACCAGTGGTTGAGCTTCCGCATTTTTTTGCGTTAAAAAAGCTAACGAACCATTTAACATGAAGTGTACCCTTACAGTGAGACCTATAAACAAAACTTAACCTCGATGTGACGCCTCATCGAGGATTCAAAATGGGCTGCATTAAGGGGGGCAAGCGTTTTAGTCGCAGAGGGACTGTACCGGGTTTATCCGCCGGAAGACCCCACAATAAGTCGTGGATGGGAAATTTAGGTTCATGCTTAGAACAGATTAAGCCAGACTATTAAACTGATCTATCATAGTCAGATAACCTGAGACATTCGAAGTCTAAAACAATTGACAGACAACGCTGATCTTTGCGTACATTTTGCTTTCTGACAATAACAAAATAAAGGAGAGAATGTCGCCAGTTGAAATGACATTCGATTGATGAATCTTTGTTTCAATAAAGCCAGAAAAAGTGCTCAATCGATTGAAAAGTAGTTCACCGAGGAGGCCCTGCTGCAATACGAGATAAAAAAAAAATAATAATAATATACGTGATGTATGTGAACGGTTTGTCAGAAAAGTAATGAAGCCAAACCTATACATGCAATCAATAACCGAAAATTGGTCCTTACTGATTTTGATGGAAAAATCAGCGCTGATGTAGCTTAAGGAATATTTACGTCATGTTAGGCCATTAACAACTGACTTGGTTCCCACCACAATCAGCGTTAAGATTATGTTGTCCCTAAGATTATGTTGGTTCACCTAACTTCGATGATTCTGTATTTAACAAACCTAAAGTATATTGATTGCAGTCTCTATCCAAGTCGGAGTGTTATTTCTGCAATGAACCAAATCTGACTTTTGCGCTTCGGTTCAACAAATTCGTTTTCGTTCTGATCCGATGGCGTCGACCCCCGACAAAGCTAAATCAAAGGCGTCATATCCTCTAAGAACTGGTAGAATCACCATCACAAACCTTGAACTGGGAACGACGTAACCACACCAACTGCCATAACATACGAAATTGCGATCCAAAGTAGCTTTAAGAAGTCCATGCTGCCCCAAAAGTCAACGATGCCAGAGTAACAACCAATTTATCTTTGGCTGGAGCAGGAACTCTTGAACAAACAACAAGGTGTATTGGTACGCAATTGGGTGACCCAGATTACCTGTGACTGGTAACCTGCACTGAATATAACAACATATGACATCATAGCCCAAGGTTTACCGAAGTTCAAACTCACCACCCTGCTTCTTGAGCAACTTCCACCAAATAATTTGCCCAGAAAATCATTAAAACAATTTCAAAGAGGAAAAAAGAAGCAAACTCTGCGACAAGATTTTTAATTCTTGTGCTGAGAATGATGTCACGAAACAGGGCTAACGTATTCTGATGAAATTGTTCACTGATTCAAGGGTCTGTTGGTTTTCACGATTTAAGTTAAAAGTCATCCTTGGCTCAGTGAAAACTGAAAGGTTTATCTACAAATGTGAACACAGCTCCAGAGCGTAAGGGGTACCGGGACGATTTATGGTGTAGCAACGTCAGACTAACTGCGAAAAGATCAGTAGACACTGCGAAGGGAATCTTTTTTTTTAGACAGTTTTTTTGTCGGGGGCTTATGAAATATTTTCCCTAAAGTTGCTTTGGTCTCTAAAGACACAAAGAGTTTATTATTAAAGCTACATTACAATCCAAAAATGCATTGGGGTTTAGTTAACAGTATTTACCCGCATGGGAGAATTATAAACAAATCCCTCATTAATTTTACTACTTCCTATAGGGTTTCACATAAAAAGAAATTTTTCAACCAATGTCTAGAAAAACTGAACCATCATAAAAGCGCCATGGCAACCCCAACTCTAGTCCCTCTACATATCAGGCTCGGCCGCTGTTGTCGATAGTTATAAGACTGTAGCTCCTCCAAAGTTCTGAGAATTGTTAGAGATATCTGAATTTCTCAAAATACTCAGTTTTAGTTTTGACTAAAGCACCGTTCATAGCAATGATTTATAATGCCCAGTGAGTGTACATCGGTTCATAATATATCTGTACGCGGCTAGGTTTTGAGCCTACAGCATACTGATATGAATTGGGATGATATATCATTTCCACTGGGACCGAGTTTGGAATGCATCACCCCACCCCACCCCACCCCCCTCCTAAACTGGCTATCATTCTAGACGCTTTTTTCCGCTTGTTATTGAAATTTCTAAATTCGTGTCAGTTTTGAGAATTTGAGCGCAACAAGCAACGTATTACTAAATAATTGATTATTGATAATAATTTTATAAATATACCTTATGTCGCCAAAAAAAATCGTGTTCAAATCGCCCGTCATACTTGAGGTTGCCGTATTTGCAGAAGAAATGTCGGTATGAAATTGTTTGCCTTTCAGGGATGGGATCATTTATCGAATTTCGGGCAATTCTGAATAAAGAAAGCTGTGGTCTTAGGTTGTAAGTAAGGTAACTTTGACAAAAAAAATGGGTCTTACCAAACGTGATAGGAGATAAAATTCTCCATAAAAATTAATTTCTTTGAAATCTGAATAGAGGAAAAAAAAATACTAAATTGACAGAACAACTAACAACGGTTTTAGCTAAAAAACCGTGGCTCCCCAAATTTTTTTTTGCAATTACTGTTCGTAGAAGTGCTGTTCACTAGTTCATATTTTAAAAAGTGTTCATTTTATTCTACTCGAGAAGTTAAGGATGGTATCTTCGCCGATTCTGAGCAGTGCTCTTTACTTTGCAGGGTTCAAAGAGGAAAACGCATTTTTTTTGGGATGTTTCATACCCTTGTTTGTTTCGTAGCATTCGTGCACCTCGTGATCTGCGAAGTAATTTTCGGCAGCTCCTCGTAGTAGAGACATATCCTGTCTATAGGTGGTCCGTTTTGTCACGCTGAAGGGTATCAGCCAAATCTTTTAATATCTCAGGGAGTGGGAGGCATGAATCTGAATTTACTGTTTCGTTAACATTACTTTTTGTTTGAAAGGGAAGCTGTAGAGCTGTTGATACGAAATATACTGGATGACTTAATCAAAACATGTCAGCCATTTTATGCATAAACCGGATAAGACAAACACTTTCGGCCCAAAAAAAGAGAACGAAAAATGGAGGTCATTTTACGTCATTTTCTTTTTCTAAGAAAGATGTTACCGAATGACCTCTAACCAGCTTCTTTTGAAGGGTGCGTCTGTTGTTGGATGCAACAGGTCACATGACATAACGGATATCTCCAGTTTACAGGTGTATTCACGATGCCATTAATTAGCCGCTTAGTCTTTAAAGCTCTCCATATCAGTGCTCAATGTCAATTGTGAGCTGAGGTGACAAATTGAACCCATGTCGTACACATTTCTTTCAACCATTTTTCATTATGATCTTTCTTCACTATTAAGCACTCTTCACAACAGATGAAACTTTTCCAACTATTTTCGTGAAAGCAAATGTTCAAAAAAGGGACCCAAAGAAATTTTCATTTGTCAGACCCAAGTTAGCTAAAATTCCCTAAACTTGATGAAATCATTTGGCAGGAGGATTCGAGATACATTCAAATTGATATTTTTATTTCCACGGTTCTTTGATTTAATTGAACAACATAAAATACATGGTGATCCATTGTCCGTATTCAGTCAAATACCTAAGCAAAGTTGACGAAGTTAATAAAACATTAACAAGTTAGACATCACTTCCGTTTTTCAAGAGGTTAGGGTTGATCATTATTAATACCACCTCGATTTGCCGGGATATTTATTCGCAAGAAAATACAATCTTTTCATGCAATTTACTTGACTTAAAGGTATGTTACCATTATCCCTTCAGGGTTTAACGTTAAGTGGTTACAAGGCTGTAGATATAGAAAATGTCGGCAGTAAATTGTCATGAAGCGATTCCAATATGATTTTCATATAGTGAACTGTAATAATCCTATCTAACCAAAGCCGACCTTGTCAGGTGTGGATTGGTATAAATCTGTCTTCTGTAGACGATGTTATTTTGTTTAAGAAAGTGTGTTATAATCCAACATTCAGTTTTGTAGATCTCCGACGTTTGGTTTGGTCATGAAGGCACCAGTTGTTCTTGTGGCTGTCATTGTTCTGTGTCATAGCATCAAGGCAGGTGGGTTTGCATCAAGGGAAACACAGACAACAAGAGTATTGTTTTTCCCATAATCATTTCGTATTATAATTACTAAACTTCGTCTAAGTGGTTTTTTTCTTCTATCGATGAAGTTATCGGAATGTAACCTCATATTCATGAGTGATAGATAGTTACACTGTTTAAGACATCGTGAATATTTCCCTGCATTTTAGGTCCTTCAATAAGATTTGTGTGGGTGAGAGCCTTATATCTCTTACCGAAAAACTCTTGTCACTTAGCAAGGAGTTTATAAGCTTTTATTCAATGGCAAAGTCGCGAAGTTGATTATTTAAACAATAGAGTTTTTCTGTCGAGGAACTATCGGCTGATAGTTGCCCCGCGCAAATTTGATTTTCTTAAATCAAATATTTGCCCTCGAAGCTTCGCTTCTCGGGCAAATATGCTAGTTTTAAAAACATCAAATTTTCAAGGGGCAACTATCAGACCGACAGTTCCGAGACATTAACACTCTATTGTTTTTATTGTTCACCTCTAAATTTTCTTCTGCGCCTACAGCTTGTCACAAATGTCAATAATTCGCAACCGTACATTGGCTTAATAGTACGTTATACCTGTCAGAATTGAAAAGTCATTGTTTTTCCGATCTGCCTAACTTCGCGGCCGTCAAACTATTCAAAACTTTTCACGGATGTGTACTATCAATCCAGGTATTTTCCGCGGACAGGCACTATCCATCCGGGTATTTTCCGCGGGCGGGCACTATGGGCTGATCGTGTCTCTCCACGGATGAACACTATCGCGTCACGTGATCGATTTAAACCAATAAGAACCGGAGAAAATTTAGTGGTGAACTATAATCCTTGTTAGTAATATAGATTGTTTGCTGAACGAACTATTCGTCGGAGAAATTATGATTAGACTGGTTAAGATGGACAACTGCTCCCATGATCTTTTAATAATCGGCTGGGAAAATATGTAAAAACTAAATACGCCCATTTGTAGCTGCTTGAGATACCACCGCGAGCCACCTGACAAAACTATCAGGTGCCGGGCCATAATGT